GCCGGTGTTCTTGATCTGCTCAATCATCTCGGTGAACTTGTTTGACTCGTAGTTTTGTAGCTTCTTGAACTCCTCTACGGTGGTAATGTCCAACTTGTGCTTGGTCTTGGGCTTCGGTGGCTCGAATGCGCATGTGAGGATGGCGAGTTTGGCGTCCTTGACCTCCGACGGCATCTGGGGATGCGAAAAGTCCTTGTCTATTATGACACCCTTGACAAGTAATGTGTCTTCGAGCGATCCACCGACCTTGCCGTCAACCTTGATGAGCTCGAAATCGACGTCTTTCCGCTCGAGATCTGCGACCGAAAGCACAGCATCTACGGCGATTTTGGCGAACTGGTCGTGCGCCTTGGAAACGATCTTGCTGCCCAAACTTGTCTTTGCGACCTTGAATAGCTCTTCGGTGTTGTCCTTGGAGAAGTGGATCTCGTCGCTGACCTCGTCGAGCTTGGCCACGGCAACCTCGCAAGCCTGGTCGTACCCGTCTGCTATCCTGATGGGGTGGATGCCCTTGTCGATAAGGTCTGCTGCCTGCTCGAGAAGCGCGCCCGCCAAGACCACGACACCAGTTGTTCCGTCACCAATCTCGTCGTCTTGTGATTTGGATAGTTCGACTAGGAGCTTCGCGACGTGGTTGGAGATTTCCATCTGGGAGAGAATGGTGGCGCCGTCGTTTGTGACTGTGATGTCTCCGTCGGGTGAAATCAGGATCTTGTCCAGTCCTCGGGGTCCCTAGTTTCATAAGTTTATGTCCTACTTCCTTCCACTAGAGCGGTGGTGCGTACCAGAGAGCTCTTGACGATGTTCGCGACCGTCTTGGCCGCGAGGATGTGGGACTTGACCGCATCGTTGCCGTGTTGCCTCTGCTTCTTGCCTTGACTGCCCCAGACATTAGCTGCTGCCTCTTACTGAGCCTTGAGCCCTTTCCATATCATTCCACGTACTCTCTGACAATGATGAATGGCCTGCCCGATTCATCCTTCATCACCTGCGCTATACCCCACTTTGTCAGTCGTGAATTCGCGGTCGATTCGTAGTAGATTCGGACGCATACCGTTGGAAAGGTCGACCTCTGTAATTATATAACGTTAGCGTATGCATCTCACTACTGAGGGTTTGGGAGTTCGGAGCTGTTGCTGCCCGCACTTACGCATCTTTGCGGTGTGAAAATGCCCGCTGGAGTAACAAATGCACGACTCCGGAGAAGTATCAGACTACAGACACACACTAGGAGAGAATCCCGGGTATGTTTGGTAGTGAGGGGTGGTGGGGTATGGCCAAACATCTGCCATGTCGGTCTTGAAATTTCCCCAGAGGGGCTTGGCATCAGGACGCACGGCCGCGAGTCGCGAACGCGCCGTCCGCCAGCTCCAACTCTCCGAACTGCCCTGACGCTTGCTGCCCCGAGCTGCCACCACACCCATCCCCAGCGCATCGCGGCCTTCCAATCGCGCTTGTACGAATCGCCTCAAGCTCCACGAAGATTGACGTCTCCGTCATATCCATTCTCCATTTCTAGCGACCGCGTTTCGACATGCCTCGTGAGTCGCGCCCGCCCGCCCAAACAATCACCATACGCGTAATATCCAGCTGCTAACTCGCGCAGCCGCTCTTAGCGATCACGGGTCCTCGGACGCCGAAGATGTTCCCGCGCAGCCAAGAAAGGGAAAGGGAAAGCAGCCGGTGCAGGAAGATCCCATAGACGACGAAGAGGACGAGGATGACAGTGAGGTGGGAGAGGACGAGTACGCGCAAATTCATATGTACATGGATCGCATCGTGCTGACAATGCGACAGATACGTCGTTGAGGCGATTCACGGCCACAGATTCACAAAGGTGCGCGCAAACACCACCTCACTTCCACGCGCAAACACTGACAACACCAGGGCGTCCTCCAATTCGACGTGAAATGGGAAGGCTACGACGACCCCAAGGACCGGACATGGGAGGCAGAGGAGAACATGTACGTTGCGGCATTGCTCTGTACTAGGTTGAGACTGACAGTCGCAGGGAGGGAGCCATTGATGTGCTGAACGAGTACTTTAAGAAGATCGGAGGCCGACCAGAACCCAAGGGCCAGAAGCGGAAGGGACGACCATCGACCGCCGGCATCAAATCCGAGTCTGGCACCCCGTCATCCTCCACGAAGCGCGCCAAGGCAGACAAGCCAGAGAAGAAAGTGGTAGAATGGAGCCCACCACCAGGCTCATGGGAACACGACGTCGACCACATCGACACGGTGGAGCAAACGAAGGACCCCAAGACGGGCCAACTGGAGAAGTTTGCATACCTGGTGTGGACGAATAAGCAAAAGACACAGCACCCTCTCAAGCACGTCTACCAAAAGTGTCCACAAAAAGTGCGTCAAAACATGTTTTCTGGATATCATTCACCATACTAACACCTCGCAGATGCTCGAATACTACGAAAGCCACCTAGTCTTCACCGAGAACGTGGACGAGCCTCTAAACGGTGACGACACCAACGACACAGTGATGAACGACGACTAATCCGCTTAAGTCGAGTAGTACCCGAAACCGAAATTGCCGATCAAGATATTCCCTTCCGGTGAAGTTCGATTCGACTTCGCCCCGGCGGTGCCATACGCAAAGATGCTACCCAAAAACTTCCGTTCCCCGACATGGTCACCCATCACACCTCTTCTATCGTTCCTCCAGTCGCCGACCGTATCTCCCATCACACCTCCTCTACCGTTGCTCAAATCACCGAAAGTGTCTCCGTTGACACCCACGGAGCAGTTCTCATCTTCCAATCCTCTGATGCGCTTGGGGGATGAGGAGGACTCTGATCAGCTGCATAAGGGTACACATGTGTCTGCTGGGTACGGCGTATAGGCATCGAATGTATTATAAGAACTTCTTTGGATAGGTACGGAAAGGGAATACTGGAGTATCAAGGCTTCGTTCAAGCGGTTCCAGTTTCGCATTGTGTATCTGGTATCGTTCAAAATTTACAACCTTTATACATACGCCTAAGATGTGACCTACAACGCCCAGTGAACATGATCGCGTGCCTTGCAAGTCCATGTCAGCACACCATTGTGGTTGGCATGCGCTTTTCCTGTACTAAATTCTCTCTCTCCCAAGTTGTGACCAGAGGCTCAGGTCAAATCAAGTCGAAATAGTTCACAGACGAGGCAATCAAGAGAAATGGTTTTAAGTAACTTTGAGTATGGGATTCGTTCCATTCCATTCCATGCGCAATTGTATATACAAACATAACAATAAGCTCCGTAATAACGTTGCGGGTATCCCAATTCGGCCCATGCCAATTGACATGGCTTCTTCAATCGCATTATCTCGTTCTCGTACAATCTCAAACTCCAAGGCGCAAGTTGCATAGCCATGCAACTGCCTATAACGCCGGTGTAAATGCGAACCACATCATCCTTGTCTCCGGTTATGTGCTGTCTTATGTTGTACTGTGTTCATGTCGTCGTAAAAATGTCTCTTTTGCTCCTGCTTTCTCTTGTTGTATCGTTTCTCCGTACTGTGTTGTGTTTTGTGGTGTGGTTTGGTGTGATGTGATGTGGTGAGGCGTTTACACATTCTCAGTCATATCCGAAACAGACGACGCGGTGCCGCCGACAGCCATGCGCGTCTGCAGGTAGTAGATGAGGTATGCGATGGCGGCGATGAGGATGAAGAGGATGAGAATGATGAGGAAGATGACGATGTTGCGCTGCATGGTTGCGGTTGTGGGTGGTGGGAACGAGGGGGTCTCGTTGGTTGTGGTGGTTGTTGAAGTGGTGTGGGTGTGTAGTTGGTGTTGGAGTGGGTGATGCGATACAATAGTCTTCTGTAGTAAAGTCAGTAAATCGTCCTTTCGTAAACAGAGTAATAATTGTATGCGCACTGTAATCTCAGCGCAAACAATCAATGGTTTTGTATAACGCGGTCGTGGTGGTGTCCAAGCTTGCTATCGTCCAAGCAACACTCAGTAGTCAAGTGTCAAGTGATGGTATCCCGGAAGCAATCGAATGACCAAGGATAGCGATAGTAGTACGAAGGAACTCGAAAAGTACAAGTGTATGGTAAGTGTGTGTGTGTGAGGGGAATGAGTTAATAATATCAGCGAGGAAATCTGCAAGCCAAGTCGTAGTCCATTCTGCAGGTGGCATGCAGGCACTTTTGTACAGACGTGGCGGGGTGCGTGCGCCGCGTGGGTGGTTGGGTCGCGTCCATGGGCCGAGGGGCTGGAATGCTGGTTTGACGTGGCTGGGATGTCGGCGTTACTGGCGGTGAGGCTGGGCTTGAAACAATGGTTGGCGGAGTTGATTTAATTGAGTACGTGGTGATGCGTTTGTTGAGGGAAGCTTGTTTTTGCGAAATGATTCAGGTATTGAGATTGAGGTTTGTGTTGGTGATGATGGGGGTGATGGGGAAGGTGCGCGCGGTCAGGTGTTCTGGGTCTTGGCGCGTTCGGGGCGGGAAGGCGATCTGACGGTCAGGCCTTGCGACGACTTCACCACCCCTTTTGTGACTTCATGATGAGCTGTATCGTCGTCGCCGCCAAACATGCGCACATCACGATCCGCTACCCCGACGATTCGCCGCGCAACAGTTGCGAATCAGCTTCATCTGGTACCCCGACGGCCTTTGATGACTCTGGCAACGAGCTGTTCACATAAGAACTCTCGACCGGCGCTATTGTCCACGTAATCCTCTTTTGCTTCTCTTCCGACAACGTCCACAGTAGAGTTCATGATTAGAAGCTCATGCTTGTTGTTGTTGCATGTGGTGAAGGTCGCGATCAGCAAAGCGGTATCTCTCGTCTCTCAGGTGAAGTTATCTTATTCGCAAGGTGAGTGCCGTCAAGTACACTCCGGAAGGCGACACATCAGCGGCTATGTAGCAGGTGAGAGGCAAAGCATCCCTGATGGTAGTATACTTAAGCCTCTCATTCTTTTTCCACTCCTCAGACATTATCCTTCCTTACCTCCTCTACAACCGGATCGACATCAGAGTCGGACAACAGTATGCCACCCAAGAGAACCCATGCCGAGATGTCGGCTACAGGAAATGAACCGCCTTCGCTTGATACTTGTCCGCAAGGAAAGCATCTGGTCGCTTTGTGAGTGGCTTTGGTCTTCCCCAAAGTTCACTCGACTAAACCGTTTTTGACAGTGCACAACGAACGGATATACTCATCAAGATATGTGTACACCCTACGAACGCCAGCCCCGGTTCCGTTTACGTGCCACGTGAGCTGCTACGTTCTGTCTATCGCCCCGACCATAGCGAAGAATACCGTCGGTCCAAGTCTGGAGAATTGGAATTATTGGTCCCCGGACTGTACTGTTCCGAGGTACTTGGTCTATTCGTACAGTGGCTCTACGTTGGAAAGTACACCGAGCTGGGTGGTCTAGTCATTGCATTTAATGAATCCCCGATTCCGAACCTGACCATGTACAACACCGACAGGAAAGACACAATGGAGTGGGCAGTCAAGGCTGCGATACTGGCTTGGCTCTTGGGCGACATGCTACAAATACCCGGGTTTCAGAACTATGCTATGGAACGCCTCCTTGCCGCTCTTGCACGCAAGTCAAAGCAGCCACAACTCACATTAGCCTTGTGTTTGTTTGTTTGGGGATATACAGACTCTAGCGACGTTCTAGATTGGGTGCTGATGGACTTGGTCATCCGGAACTGGGGTGATGCAGCCGTTGTTGATCTGGCAGACTTGGACTCATGGTTTTCTTTCATAAGCGACCAGCCGTCCGACACCAGGGTCAAATTCATGGAGGGGACGCTCATGTCACTTGAAAAACGTCGTGAGAAGGTCTTGGTGGCGAAGGAGTATCTCGTCTGAGTACCTGAGAGCATGGATGAGACATCAGCTTCGGAAAGATGAGTACGGATAAAAGCATGACATGGTAGTCGCTTGGGATGGGGACTGGAGCAAAAGTACTGGATATCATCCGGAGAAGTCTATGGTACATGGACACTAGATTCATGTCCGGGGCCATTTGCGTTACTTGATTTGGGTGCTTCATCACTACAAATTCAGCATCTGCTACCTGCTTCTCCTAAACTTCGCTTCCGAGCCGCCCGTCTTGGCTACTAGTTCCTTTCCAGCCTAGGTCTTCGTCTATGCGCTGTAGCTTTGCGTGGTATCTTTCTCGATAAAGCTATTAATCACAATTGCCATACAAAGAGCCGGTGACCCAGACATGTATTGTAACCCGCTTCCGATATCTCTTTTTGCCTTCCCTCAATGCCCCATCGCCGACAGCCATGAATGTCGAACGCTGCATCAGCCTTCACAACGAAATCGTACGACATGGCTGGGTCGGCTCAGGCCGGTCCCCAGATACACTTGCTTCGCACAGCAAATCCTGGTTCGAAGTATTCGGCGAGGAAGCCGAAGCCGAACGGTCTGCGCTCTCACCCGACCTAACTCAGTTCCTCGAGCAAGTCTAGATCCCGCGCGTAGAAGAAGATGGATTCTGCCCCGAGTTCTTTTACTGGGTTCAGGGCCTGTCTCATCCTGAGTACATGTTCGAGTTTGAAGATATGTTATGGGATTACTACTATACCAATGACAAGGAGGAGAAGGGGAAAGGTGATGAGAAAGGTGATGAGAAAGGTGATGAGAATGGTGATGAGAAAGGTGATGAGAATGGTGATGAGAATGGTGGTGGTGATGAGGAAGAGGAAGGTATCGAGGAAGATTAAGGTGATGAGGGAAGGCGCTTAGTTCTATATGCTACGGCTCATCTCGATACAGGGCATATCTGTGGGTTGATGTAAGAGACTTCATGTTGCTGTTCTACTAGACCAACAAGCTCACAACGACAGATGTGACCAGAAGACCAATCTTTGTACTCTCAGTCTCACTATATACGATACCGACGATATCAGTACTCAGAGGTGGTACCCATTAGAGGCCGTACTTACCTTCTGGCTCTCTCAGATCCGCAACGAGACCATCCAGGCCGCACCAGAAAAAGGAGGGAGACTTCGAGAAGAGTGGCCTGAAGTGTTCGGCGAGTACTGGGAACATGCGCCTTGGGTCTTCGTGCCGTACAATGAGAATATGCTCAAGCACAACCTCGATGTATGGGAGAAGCTCGTTGAAGCAATCGAGAGCCGCATGCCTCCAGGCAGCAGACCACAAGCAGCCGAACGACCCATGTACGGCCTGTTGGACGACAACATACGCGACACAATAAACCTTCCCCAACGATTCGCATACAACTTCCTCTTCCGCGCCCGCCGACCTCGCTTCAAGATGATAGCCCCCGGTCTCCGCATTATCCCATCCGCAGACTTTCCGGACCAACCCTTCCGCTCCTACATGTCCAAAGACAAAGAAGAAGTGCCACCCGTACTACTCTTCCAGTTCGACCTGAACTTCTTCGAAGACCCAACCAGGACTCCGCAAAGCCCAGACGACGCCATGGTACCGAACTTCTTCGACTACCGCGATATCAAGACTTATCCTTCTGGCTTATACCTACTGCCTACCAATCACAGAAGTCTGGAAGATGGGATCTCATTCGTGTTGCCGTACGCTATTGGCGGTAAGGGGTATGCGAAGAGAGGCGATGGAACAAATTTCGCGAGTGGAGAGGATTGGCGTGGGAAAGATAGCTTCACAGAGTTGTATCAGCCTGGAAGACGGGCGTTTGAGGACTTCCAGGCGCAGAATCTAGCGGGTGTGTTGGAGAGTTGGCTGGGTATGGTGGAAAGAGGGGACTGGAAAGTCGGTGAGAATGGGGTGATGGGTGATATGGAGACTTGGAGGGAAGCGGATACGGAGGAGGGATGGAGGAAGTATGTTGTGCCGAGTGGAGAATTATCTAATCCCAATAAGAAGTTGGTGTAGATAGATAGAGGCCTTATTCTAAGGCAGAGAGGCTTCGATGACCACGTCCAACGCGTTCTCATGACTCCAAATACCCTCACTCTTGAGCCCCACCGACTCGAGTAGTTCGCGAAACTGCGATTCGGTTCGCTCTTGACCAGAAAGTGACTGCATGACATTGACATCCATGGCCGTAAATGCCCACGGTGCGTTTCGATCGGGTATAAGAAGCTCTTTGATGAGAAGCTTGGAGTACCCGGGCTTCATAGCTGGGACGATATTGCGCAGGATGCGGCGACATGCGTCATCGCTACTGAAGTCATGGAGAACGTGTTGGAGCATGTATGCTCTCGCGCCTTTGAAGAACCGTTAGTGCCTTACACGTAGGATTGTGATGCCACCATAGAGGCGTACCTTTGATCGGCTGAACCTCATTCCAGTCCCCAACATGTGCTTCAAATCCATCTTGCTCACTCCGATCAACAATATGCTTCAACTCCTGCAGCACGAGTCGACCTTTGACATCCTCCCCAAGCGCTTTCCTCAACAGACCCAGATCACCCGCATCGCCGCCTCCGATATCAACAAGTAGCACTTCCTCATCAGACACAGGTCCGCCTCCCACCAACCGCTCTCGAAATGGGTAGTACCCATCCTCCCAAAAGAAGTGTTTACCGGCGTTGTACATCTGAATCATTCCACCGAAGCGCTCCCCCATCGCTGCGTCTTCGTCGAAGTACGTGTAAAGCGACTTGTTAGAGAAGTCATGGGCGTGTTGGAATGGGCCATTGTTGATGTCGGATGGATTCTGGTGGGAGATTGAGTCGAGAAATGAGGGAACGCGCCAGCCTACGTTGTAGAAGTCGTCGAACCTATTGCGCGTGTGAGATGAGTGGGGGGACTAGTGTGTGTGTGCTGACGAGTACAAGAAAAGGCTTACATAAAGTGTACGGCATCTTTAAACGACTTTTGTCTCAAAGAAGCAGAGAGGCGAGTGCTTGCGTAGGCATCATGATCGACTTCGCGGATCGTGCCGTTTGCTGCTAGATGGCGTAGGAAGCGTGCTGTAAATACCTCATCAGCATCACCTCACGGAACAAACATAGCCACTTCCTCCAAATACTTTTAAATGCCGATCTTGAGGACCATCATAAAAGTTCGCGGTCAAGTATACATACCAACCAATCTTGCATCCGCCCCCGCACCCTCAGCAATCTGCTTACACGACACTCCCTTCTCCCCAACATCACCCAACGCCTCGAAAACTCCCCATTGCAAAGCGAGTCGAATAGCGAGATAATGTCCAGGCTAAATGCATTCCGTTCGTGGTTAGCGCTAGTCGACCAAATGCAGTAGCCACAACCCCGCAAACCCAGCAAGACCACCACGACCCAGGAGACGTACCTCATTAAACGTCACCCGGAAGACAGCTTCATCTGGTCTTTCCAACTCGTTTCTGAGCGCTTCGGCTAGACCGCTGAGTTGGAGGCGCTCGGTATTGCTGAGTTGAGCGCGGAGGGTTGGGGCGGCGGCTAGAAGGGTCTTGAGTTGGGAGAGGGCGTTGAACTCCATGGTATGCGGAGGGTGAGTGTACAGGATTTATTTTGTGAGCGGCGTTGGTCAAGAGTTCGATGTCACGGTATCTGTGATAGATGTGCCGGCAGAAGGGAAGTAGCCAAGAAGGCGTATCGCGCCTGCCGTTCCAGGTCAAGCGCAAGAGAGCAGGAACGGTGGGGTGCATAAGTTTATTCGTATGCTCCAGGAGCATATTTGGCAGGCTAGAGACGTTTGATTAATGTTTATCCTTTGTTTTGGGGGATCTAATGATGGGCTTCCGGGTTTGAATCGCCAATTTCGTCGTCTACACCCCTCCCATTATGTTCGTGGCCTTTCCTTTCCGTCTTTCCAGTCGCGCCTTATCCATCTTCCATTGACCCCAGCAGCATGCCAATCCAAAGATTATTGAGCCTCTGGGAGGAGGAAACCGTCCGTAGAGGGCTCGCATTTGGGAATGACCGAAGAGTCGAGCCAGCAGCATCGTCGGTTACTTCTGAAAGGAATAAGTTGTCAGTGAAATTTCTCGTATATATACAAGCTAGTTGTACCTTTTTTGAGTAACGTCGGGCCGTAGACAGGGATGAGAAGCAGTTGTGTAATGTAGGTTGATGAACGGGCAAGTCGTCGTTCTCGAAGATTGAAAGTGGCGCCGTTTGATACTGTTTGTGATGGAGAAAAGCGAAAAGTGAATCTCATACGCGGCGACATATATATGGTGAACAAACAGTTTGGCAGCCATGCATGTGTGACGTGGTAGCGAGAGAACACAGCCGTGGTTGTGAAAAAGTTAGACCCACCTCATGTGTGCGGTACCACCTTCACTTAACTCCTCGAGCTCAAAGACATCGTGTCATGACTGACTACATTCAAAGCGTGCCATAACCATATACATTAACAAAAAAAGGGTATATACAACCACTTTGCGTCCTCCAAAGCTTCCGAGCTTCTAACAGAGAGTAGCTCAACACTATACAAAAGCCCTCATCTCAATCCCAAACAAACACCAAAAACGCCATTATTTTCCTGAATCTACCCATCCATCCCATCTCATCCCTTTAATCCATCCCATCGACCTCACTGATAAAACCTCCACTTAACCTCCTTACACGCCCACTCCTTCTTAATCCCATTAATCCTCTCAACCTCCCACCCACTCGTCCACTCCTCATCCCCCACCTTCCCACCCAACCTAATAACCTTGCTGAGATGGCACTCCCCCTCCCCCTTCGCCGTATACCGCCATTGCAGACAATCCTCAACTTCTGTGCAAACGGCCTGGCAGCGCTCGGAGCTATCTGCTGCATCGGGGTGTTTCTCGGCGAGCTTGTCCCAGTTTGGCGGTTCTTTCTTGTCTTCTTTCATGTCCTTGCCTTTCTTGTCGTCTTTCTTGCCATCTTTCTTGTCTTCGCGCTTGGAGATGCTGTTTGAGGTGGGAAGGGCGCCGGCTTCTTGGAAGACGCGTGAGTCGGGTGGTGGGGCGGTGTCGAGTTTGAGTTTTGCGGGCTCTTTCTTGTCGTCTTGCTGGGTCTTATCTTCTTCCTTCGGGGTTTCCTCTTTCTTGGCAGTGTCTTGCTCTCCCTTCTCTTTCTCTTTCTTCTCGGCGTCTTGCTCTTCCTTCTCCTTCTCCTTCTTCGCAGCGTCGTCTTTTAGCTTTTGCCGACGTCCTTCTGGTGCGACGATCTTGGTGTCTTGACTGAGGTTGTCCCAGCCCACCTTTTGCGTTTCGATGTGCGGTTCTACTGAATCGTGATAGGCGTCGCGGTACAGATATGGCTTCTTCCAGCCATTAGCGGTGGTCCACTTCTTCTCAATATCCCACTGCCTCGTGAGTTGGTCGCCGCCAAGGTGATTCCATGACACGGCAGGAGCACACCAGTGCTTCCTGGTGTAGTCGAGCGTACTTGGCTGCTCGCTCTGGAGTAGTGGCCACGAAGCATAAAACTCCACGTGTGCGTCGCCAAGCGCCTTCGCTAGCATCAAGTCGCCGCAGCACTGCTCGCCGTTGTCCGGTTCCCACTTGGTTGCGTAGAGCTCATCGTAAGATTTGGAGTACCGTCGCAGTGCACCTTGAGACATCATGATGCCTGCTCCGCGCTGCGCCACTTGCGTACCCGCGATGTAGTAGGGGGCTCCGCTGTAGTATGGTATCCGGTAGTCCAGCCTGTTCAGCCATTGTAACAGATTCGTCCAGCTCAGACTCGTGTCGGCTTCTATGAAGACAAAGAACTTGGCACTGGGGTTCATGTGGTACGCCTTGTACACCATGGGCAGGAACTTCCACTTTTCCAGCTCCTCCAGCTTCTTCATGTCTGGCTTGTGCTCTGCATCAGCATGCATGAGCTGGTATTCCTGGAACTCGTTGTGCTTGAACTTGGTCTCGCCGCTTATCGAATCGAGCGCATCGTGTACTTTGTGCCCTTGGAACTCGCCGGCGTGGTCGCTGAAGATGGCAAAGGTGGGGACGCAGGCTAGCAGATTGCTGAGGTGGCTGTTGAGCTTTTCGATTTCGGCTTTCGATGTCTTGAGGACGACCATGACGTCTTTCGCTCCGTCGGCGTCGTTGCAGAACTTCTCGACTGCGTGAGTAGGAATGGCGGCTTCGGCGGGCTTCGTAGGCGCAACGTCCGGCTTAGCCGCAATCGGAGTCTTCGACGCAGGTATCGCCTCGGTGGCTAGTGTTGTAGGCGCTGCCATTGCGCCTGAGCCCAATATGCTCCCAGGCTTATCACCACCCTTCAACTTTTCTTTATCCTCCCATCTTCCGCCATCTTCCTCATACTCCGCGACGCCTGTCTCGGTAGGCGCGGATGGTGTTGTCTTTCCCTTTCCACCCTGCGCTCCCTTATCGTCCCATCTGTGATCATCTGTCTCCTTCGGATGATCTCCGTGTGCTATCGGCGTGGATGTCGCGTGCGGAGTCTCGATGACGGGCGGCGGTATTATCGGCTCGGTGTGTACATTCTTGTGGTCGTAATGGTCGATGACGGGTATCGTGGGCTGGGGCGTCTGTTGCGGCAGGCCGAAAGTCCAGAAGAAAGTCAAGAGCGAAAAGGAGACGATGATGATGGCGAGCCGTGAGGGGGTGATGAGCGGCATTGCGGCGATAGGGCTTCGACCGCCAAACTTGGAAGTTGAGGTTTGGTTGAGGGAATATTATGGCATTGAATTAGACAAAGTCTTTGAGTGAAAATAATCAAGTCATTGTGGTTGCAATCGCCAAAGTCGCGAATGCCCCTCTGAGCGATGATCCCGGGAATGATGGATGGATGAGGCGGTGGCTCTCACCCCTTGGCTGTGGCGCTCGGTCTAGCAGGCGCGCCGGAAGACGCGCTATCACGACGCTTGACCTGCCCAACTCCATTTTTCGGTCTTCAATGCTGACGCAGATGCTTGCTTTTGAAAGAACAACTAGAGACTTGAAATCGTATCTACTACACTACTGTATTATGCAGGGGCTTCTGACA